CTACTTAATGAGATCATATGTAAAATTATGAACTAGACCTTCATCACCCTCATATGAAAAAGGGCAAATAAAAAGAGGTTTATGATTGTTGCCTATTAGCTTAGTACTAGTGCCTACAAGATCATTAGCGAGCTACTCTCTTTAAGACTTAGTGAGGTTTTTGATGATATGATTTTGCCAAATCAGAGTGCTTTTGCGGGTACTAGCAAATTTTGGATGCCTCTTTTGTAGAAAACAAAGTGGTGGAGTATATGCATAAAGTAAAGAAGGAATGATAGGTTCTTAAGTTATATTTTTGAGAAGGCATATGACAGGGTGAATTGGAGTTTTCTTGTTGAAGAAAGTGATGGATAGGAGAGGGTTTGAAGCGCAATGGAGAAAATGGATGATGGGATGTTTATCGTCCGTATCTTTTGCTGCTGTTGTAAATGATAAGCCACAAGAGTGGTTTACAAATTCAGATGCTTTAGGCTGTGGGATCTTCTCTCACTATTTCTTTTTACCCTTGTAATGGATGTGTTAATTAGGCTGTTGGCTAAGGGTTTGAAGAGAATTGATATTCATTTATAAAAAGACCATACAAGTATGTACGGCTACTTGAATGCTCATGCTGAAATTCATATACTAATGCATTTTTTTTTTGCTTGACTGGTGCTTGAGCTGTGAGCTGTCCTGCTTATTTTGGTAGACTTTTGCTTGTAATTTGCTTGGGAAACATAAAAACATAAGTACTTTAAGTAAACCAACATTTATTTTTAGTTTTTTAATAAGAGTGAAATAAAAAATTGGAAATAAATAATTATGAGATGTGAACTTTGTTTGGGATAGAAAAAGAAGAGAGTTTATTAAGAGGAGAGAAATACAAATAAGAAAGATTAGCTAGTCTTTCTCTTTTTCTCGTCTTTCATTTTTTATACTGGAAGATCTCTTTTTTATTCAGAAAAATATATCCTCCAGTAGAAAAAATGAAAGAAGAGAAAAAGAGGCCTAGCTAATCATTAGAAAGAATAGCAAGCCAATCTCCACAGAAAACTAATAAAGAGATATCTTTTAAGTCTGTTAGTCTAAATAGAACCAAAAAAACGAACTGATGCAGAACAAGATCTTAATTTAGAATAAATTTTCAAGTAAATAAATCTTTTGTAATTATTATTATCTTATATTTAAATTTTTTAGGTTTTTTTTAGTTTATTTAGGTATTAAAATATTTTAAGTTCCTTTTAGGTAGATTTTAAATATGATAAGAATTAGAATCTTTTAGATTTTCCCTTTTATACTTTTCTTATTAGTTAAGTTATAATATTTTAGTTTTTTTAAGGAAGATTCTAAATATTATAGGAATTATAATCTTTAATGTTTCTTCATGACTAATTTTGATACAAGCTCCAATTCAAAATTGTTTAAATTATTAGGAAAAAATATTTAATATTTATTTATGAATAAAAACATGCAATATTATTTAAAATAATTGCAATATTGTTTTTTTTAGATTTCTTTGCAAATTTTCGTCACTTAAGTATTAATTACCAATTCTCTGAGTCCATTAAATAATTAACTAAATATAACATTACATTTTGTTTATTTTTTAAAAAATAATATTACATTTTATATTGAGAGCGCTTTTTACAATAAGTTTTACCAAACATCATTTTTGTTTTACTTTAAAACTGCCTTTGCTGAAAGCTATTCTAAAAGCATTTTTTGACAGTTTATGGCACAAACACTAGTTGGGAAATGAACCTAAAAGTGTTGTGAAAAGTTTCTTAGTAAAAGCTGCTTAAGGTGAAATAAGTATAGTGTTTGGTAAAAATTATTGTAATAAATGCTTGCAATATAAAATATAATTATTATGTTTAATTAATTGTGGTATAAAATTAGTAATAAAGACTTGAAAGGATAAAAAAGTTGTCTAGCAATAAAAGATACTGCAGTCATTTTAATAATATTAAAATATTTTTCTTAAGTTTATTCTAATAGCTATAATTATTTATCTTAATTTAGTTATTATGTTTATTTTGTTCAACAAACTACTAGTTTCAAATCATCATTATTGTGATTTAGTTATTTTGGGCGCTGCTGTTATTGCTAATGAGGTTGTAGATGGTCCTCTAAAAAGTGGGACGAGAGATGTATTATGTAAGTTGGATATGGAGAAGACTTATGATCATTTTTTTTGAAATAAAAAGTAACGTGTATATTAACAATGTACCAAAAAAAGGGTACCAACCCATATACAAAAAAATTTACAAAGTAGTTAGCATGTCAGTGACATTCCCAAAATTTTCATCCCTAATAATATCGTGATCTAACAAGCTTGTCCCAAAATAATTAATCCCACCTATCCCTTAATTTATACAAGCCTAGTACGGGTTGAAAAGCACTTATGATCATGTGGTATGGAGGTTCTTTTTTTATATGCTGGATAGATTGAGTTTTGTTGAAAAGTGGTGTAGTTGGATTAAGGCTTGTGTTACAACTACATTTTTTGCTACTATGTTGAATGAAGGACCTTCTGGTTTCTTCAAGGCTTCTAGAAGATTAAGACAAGGTGATCCTTTATTTCCACTGCTTTTCATTGTGGTTGTGGAGGCTCTCAATAAACTTCTTGCTAGAGCTATGGAGGCTGATTTTTTCAGGGGTTTGTGTGTTGGGAAGCAAGAAGGAAGGGTTGAAGTCACTCACCTATTCTTGCCGATGATTCCATTTTATTCTTTGATCGGGCTCTATACAATATCAAGTGCATGCTAATTTGCTTTGAAGCAATGTTGAGACTCAAAATAAATATGTCAAAATCAGAATTGGTCATGACTGGGGATGACAATAAGATGGATCACAAGGGTAGAATTCTGGGCTGCAAAAGAGTGAATCTTCCTATTAGATATGTAGGTATGCCTTTAGGAGCGAAGTTCAAGGATATTGCTGCTTAGGATCCAGTGGGTAAACATGTTTGAATCTAGATTGAGTAGGTGGAAGGGGGTTTTACTTTTCTAAAGGTGAGATGTTGACTCTAATAGAAAAGCACACTCGTTAGTACCATTATTTATGTGATGTCACTATCAACAATCCCATCCGATGTTTAATTTCAAAAAAAAAAAAAAATCTCATCCAATATAGCTAAGAGACTAAAGCGAATATAATGCAACTTGTGGGATGACAGAGGATAAGAGAAGGTATCACTAGGTGCCTAGACAGGGCGAAACAACCACTAAGGAGGGGTGGTTTGGGATTGAGACTGTTATCTGTGTTAAACAGGGTGCTCAATGCAAGTGGTTTTAAAGATTCATGAAAGAGCAATGTGGTCTTTAGAGGAGGATTATTGAGGCGGGACATGGTGTGGATGCCCTCAGTTGGGCCTCTAAAAGCCCCAAGGGCCCTCCCGGTGCTAGCTTGTGGGAGAGAATTAGTATTGAGAAGGAAAAATTCTTCAAAATGTGTAAGATGGAGAATTGGATATGGGGATAAAGTGAGTTTGGAAAAGGGTTCTTTTTGTCATCAATTTCGAACATTTATGTAGTTGCTTGAAACAAGGAAGCGACATTAAAAGACTATATGGTGGGTCAAGACGACAATGTTGGTTGGTAGATTGAGCTGAAATGAAATTTAAATATGGTGGTGGTGGAGGTCTTCAGAGGGGTGGATGAGAGGAGTGGTTGGGAATTGAATTTGGCTAGAAACTTTAATGATTGGGAGGTTGATGAGTTTACATTGCTCCTTCAGTTATTGGTACACCTAGAAGCTACCAAGACAAGGCGGTTTGGAAATTGAAGAAAGATGGTATATTTACTGTCAAATCCTCTTATGATTATTTGACCAATAGAGATGGGGAAGAGGCGAGGTTTTGGCTCTATAGATATGGAAAGTGAAGGTGCCTTCGAGAAATGCTTTTTCGGTTGGGAAACTGGTCGGGAATGTATTCTCACTATAAACAAGTTAATGAGAAGGGGACACATCATGGTTAATGGATGTTATTTATGTAAGGAGGTGGTTGAATCATGCAACCATCTCCTTCTTTGGTTTTCGGTGATTTATTGTATACGAAATGGTTTGTGGCTTACTAGGTATCAATTGGGTAATTGAGAGTACGGTCAAGAATGAATTTTGAGCTTGGGATGGGGTTTGTAAGAATTCGGAAATTGTAAAGCTTATTTCATTAACTATTTTTTGGTTGGTGTGGAAAGAGAAGAACAATAGAGTGTTTGATGGGTGTGTGGAGGATTTGGGCAACATTAGAGATAGGTGGATATCCACATGCTTTTGGGGCTTTAATTTTGGGACATGATTTATATGGGTGGGATGATTTTGGGAATGTTTTTGATGCTTTAACAAACATGTAAATACTTTGTATAGGAACGACAAAACCCTTGGTGTATTATACTTAATATACATTCTTTTTATCTAAAAAAAAAAATTAAATGATTGGGAGGTCCCATATTATATTAAGTTATTAGAGATGGTATTATTGTTAAGGAGGGGCTAGATCAATGAGGATATATAGTGTTGAAAACTTTAACAATTCCGGTGTCTTCACGGTGAAATCATATTATGACTACCTGCATAGGGGTGAGATCGAGGAGGAGGGTTTTCTTACTAGACTGATTTGGAATGTAAAAGCTACTCTGAGGATTGCCTTCTTTGCATGAGAAGCTGTTTGGGGGTGTATTTATTCGTTGGACAACCTTATTAAAAGGAAAAAAAATCTGGTGAATGAGTGCTACTTGTGTGAGAGATGCTGAGTTGGGTTATCATATTATCTAATAGTGTTAGTTTGCTTAGAGATTTGTGGATGTTGGCTTATGGACTTTTGGGTCTATATTGGGTCATTGCTGGATGGGTAAAGGAAGAGGTATGTGCTTCGAGTGGAATATGCGAGGATAAGAGAGTGAGACTTGTCCCTTTGGCCACTTTCTGAATAATTTGGAAAGAGAAGAATGGAAGAACTTTCAAGAGAATTGATCCTAACTTTGATAAACTCAAGGATAATTGGTTCCATATCCTAAGTTTTTTGTTAAAGGGTTATCTGCTATGTTCTAGCAAGGATTTTGGGGACCTTATAGATACTTTGACTGACTTGTAAATATTGTATACGAGTTGCACCTTCTTGGTGCTTTTGTGTTTATGAATGTATTTGTACTTCTTCTTAAAAAAATTAAATAGAACTTATTTGAATAATTTACAGTAAATGTAACTTATTAATAATAAATTGTTATATTTTATCTTAAAAATTAAATCAATGAATCAGTGAAATATTTCTTTAATAAATATACTCAATAATATATGTTTTTTTAAATATACTCAATTATTATTCAAAATTTTAAATTAATCAAATTAGTAAAATATAAATTTAAGAAATATACTCATTAATATTATTATTCACCTCCTATGCAACAAAACATATATTAAAATCATCTATTTTCAGCCCAAAAAGGATTTTGCTTTTACCCACCCGAAACACTTTTGTTTTTTGGTGTTATGACCATACTTCTGCTTTTTGACTGCAAAGCAGAAGCTGAAGCCCTGCCAAATAGACACCAAACCTTTTTTATGAGCAAAAGTTATTGTAGAAAAAGCAACAATTATATGATCTAAGTGGGTGACAAACTCATGGAAGAATTTGTATGTGACACTGTTAACTGATATAGGATCATATAACAATTCCTTAAACATCTATGATTCTTTATTTTTCAAGTTTTCTCGGGATTTTGGTTTTGGTTTTTAATATAATCCAAGTCTTGAGGAGGGCAGATTCACTTAAGATTTCTTTGGTTGTATACTTATTATGCTATAGGTTTTTCCTATATGAATTGAATTTTCTAGTTTAGTTAGATTTCTAATAAAGCGTGATTTTTGTAGGAGTTTTTAGTTCTAGTGTTACTTTGTTTAGGATTCTATACTATAAAAAAGCAAAGAATTATCTTATGCTATTATGGCACATTTGCTTTTGGTGAAAGGAACAAGAGTGGGATGAAAGCAATATTTAAACCCTTTTGTTCATGTCCCTCCTCTGTCAATGCCCAGATGATCTTCTCATCACTCTGTTGACACCACCCTTTCTTCTTGCTTCCATCTCCAGTGATACCAAGAGTGAGTTACAAATCAATTTTCTTGGTTATCTGCTCCCATCTCTAAAATCAAAATAAGAAACACCAGTTTCTATCATCATGATTTCTCCCCCTCTTCTCTTTCTGTGATGAAACCTGAGTGATCTTCTTGTCTCTGGACTAGCACTGCTCCTGCCACTCTACCATTGAATCCTTCAACCAATTCACAAACTCCAGACCACTGTTTGATCACCACTCGGCCCTCGCATTCTACTGCACTAGACCACTGCACGATCACACACGGGGGCATCTAATCGGCTGCATTCTGGCAGTTTTCAGTGGAGAAAAATGGTGAGGGGACAACTTTTTGGTAGTTGGTTGGGCAGTTTTGAGGGGGGTAGTACTTGTAATAACATTTAAGGGCAAAAACGGAAAGTGTTATTCAACCCATCCTTGAATTACAATCCTAGGGTGGATATCACGAATTGCAATTAATTGTTTTGAAGGAATAGTTTTTCATTAGAATGCCTATTTCTTGATAAGTTTCTCAGATTAAAGTTCTGTTCAAAAAAGTTTGTCAGATTAAAGTGCTGGCTGATGGGTTGGTTATATCCTTTTATCAAAAAACAAAATCTGCCTCATTATGCTTGTGTTCATGTGGAGAGTCAATATAAATATATTTTGAAATAAAAGTGTGAGAGTCAATATTTTTTATATTTAATGAAACCATTTTTCATATTCTTTTTTGTGTTAATAATATATCCTTCAATTTTTCTTCAATGGAATGAATATTTATGGGCCTTAGGCTCAGTGGTTTTTCCTGTCTGCAGATCTTCCAACTGCATATTAATATTTAATATTTTGCTGCTTATCATGCTTGTTTTCTTACTATCCTATTCAGCTGTTAGTAGTTGCTTTATATAATAGTTACGTGGCCATTTCTTATTTTTGCTGTTGTCTCTTGTTCCATCAGTTGGATCTTTGCAAGAAAATGGCCAAACGTATTGCAAATACCCCAACTTGGCATATTATGTGGTTTTCTGTCTCTCTCTGCATGGTTGGTTGTCATATCCCCTATTATGGTGCTTATTGCATGGGGATGGTGGTTGATTGTAATACTCAGTCGAGATATAATTGGGCTTGCTGTAATAATGGCGGGCACTGCTCTTTTACTGGCATTCTATTCAATCATGCTCTGGTGGAGGACCCAATGGCAAAGCTCAAGTAAGTAAAGCATCAACTTCTGTTTATTCCTAATTGAATCTCTTAGTTGGTATATTTTCTAAAGTGAATGAATATGTTCACTAATAAGGGCTTGAGGCTTCTTAATATGAAATTGAATCTGATTCTAAAAGCTTCATTTGTTCCTTTTTGTGTACCTTTAGATCTAGTAGATACAATCTTATGAATTCAACTCATGATTATTGTATACTTTGTTCTTTCCACGTTCCCAACCTTGTTTCATCCTTTAAAAATTAGCTCCTGTTTTTCTGACGAGAGAAATGATGGTGATATTGTAATCCTTTAGGTTACTTTGATGAAAAGTTAGCCTCTACAATTTTCATCTATTCATTGTTTCTGTTAGTGATTGGTTTATGATATAAAGAGAAAAAGGAAAAAAATAAAACATAAAAGGGGATGGAGAGGAAGAAGATGAGAAAAGACGCCTTTGTGGCTCTGTATTTTTATCTCCCATGTCATTGTTGTTTCTATCACTGTTTATTGATGTATATCTTATCTTTTAATATTTATTATAAACAGTCGTTTTTTTTCTAAATCTTGTTTCTGATTTTCTCATTGTTGTCTTTATTAGGAGCTGTCGCTTTTCTTCTTCTCCTGGCTGTTGCGTTACTTTGTGCATATGAACTTTGTGCTGTGTATGTTACTGCTGGTCTCCATGCATCAGAGCAATATTCTCCTTCTGGTTTCTTTTTTGGTGTATCAGCAATTGCCTTAGCAATCAACATGCTTTTTATCTGCCGGATGGTTTTCAATGGTAAGCTTTCATCTGACTTGCACTAACAGTTTTATTTTGCTTACATGATAATTTGTTGCAGTTGTCTGACAATGAATCCTTATGTTGCAAAGAATTGTGGTTATTGATCTTAGTTTCCTGTCAAATTTAGTTCTATTTTATTACTTGACTCTTGTTCCATTTCAGGGAATGGCTTAGACGTGGATGAATATGTCCGGAGGGCATATAAGTTTGCTTACTCTGATTGCATAGAAGTGGGTCCTCTGGCTTGTTTACCTGAGCCACCTGATCCCTCAGAATTATACCCTCGACAGTCTAGTAGGTAGGTGATTATCACTTTCTTTGAAACTAAAAAATTATGTATTAAGAGTTATATCTTTATATATTCTGAACTGTTTGTTATGTTGGTATTGTTTTTTCTCCTGAAACTTAAATAAAAAGAAGTTATTGTTGCTATTATGCTCAATTTTCAACTTTGTACAATGAACAGTTTCGTCATGTGTTTTCAGAATAGACTAGGGTGGGGAACTGACTTTCATGTATGGATATCTGTTTCAAAGTTTCTTTTAGTCCTCCTTACTTCCCTTTTTGGCTTTCCCATCAATGGAAAGAGGTGGTTTCAGTGGTTCCTGACCCAGTTTTGTGAAGTTCCTAAAAGTTTTATGCCTAGTTGATGATCATTTTACATATTTGGTTTGGTGGAGGTTGGTTTTCATAAAAACTTGGTTTCCAAGCCCTCTGTGTCCTAGTTAATTGTTTTTCATTTGCAGGTTTTCACATCTCGGACGTCTTTACCTTGGTTCGATTGTGGTTCTTCTTGCCTACTCAATCTTATATGGTCTGACAGCAAAAGAGGCACGTTGGCTGGGAGCCATTACATCAGCTGCTGTTATCATTCTTGGTATCATGAACTATTATGTTATATACATTTGGGGTTTTAACCATTTTGAGTTTCTATCTATGCCATTCATGTTTTCTAATGCTAATCAATTTCATGACTTTCTCCGCCTTGTGTAGATTGGAACATGGGGGCATGCTTATATGGTTTCCAGCTTCTTAAAAGTCGCGTAGTAGCACTTTTTGTGGCTGGCACATCTCGCGTTTTCCTAATTTGCTTTGGAGTGCACTATTGGTTTGTACCAGACTGTCTGTTATGTTAATTCTGATGTTGCTGATTTGACACCATCTTTTGTTTCTATCATCCTTCCTGTGCTTCAGGTACCTCGGGCACTGTGTTAGCTATATGGTTGTGGCATCTGTTCTATTGGGTGCAGCTGCTTCTCGCCATTTGTCAGTCACAAATCCATTAGCAGCAAGGAGAGATGCCTTACAGAGCACAGTTATTCGCTTGCGAGAGGGTTTCCGTAGAAAGGAGCACAATAGTTCCTCCAGCTCTTCTGAAGGTTGTGGCTCAAGTATGAAACGTAGTAGCAGTGTTGAGGCAGGTCAAATCAGTAATATAATGGAAGCTAGTAGCCGGAGTGCTGCACAAGGCACTGCTGACGCTATTAACTGGAATGGTCTTTGTCGAACTACAAGTTCGCAGGAGGGGATCAATAGTGATAAGAGTATAGATAGTGGAAGGCCAAGTTTAGCCCTACGTAGTAGTTCTTGTCGTTCTGTTGTACAAGAACATGAAGTTGGGACATCATTTGCAGATAAAATTTGCTCTAGTAGTGGTCTTGATAGCCAGGGCTGTGAGTCTAGCACTTCAAATTCTGCAAGTCAACAGATGGATTTGAGTTTAGCTCTAGCTTTCCAGGAAAGGTTGAACGATCCAAGAATTACATCTATGCTGAAAAAGAGGGCCAAACAGGGTGACCTGGAGCTGACGAATTTGTTGCAAGATAAAGGATTGGATCCTAATTTTGCTATGATGTTGAAGGAAAAGAACTTGGATCCCACTATTTTGGCGCTACTTCAGAGGAGTAGTTTGGATGCAGATAGAGATCATCGGGACAATACTGATATGACAATCATCGATTCGAACAGTGTTGATAACGCTTTGCCCAATCAAATTTCTTTATCAGAGGAACTGAGGCTTCGTGGGCTTGAGCGATGGCTTCAGTTGTCCAGACTTGTTCTACATCATATAGCAGGCACCCCGGAGCGAGCGTGGGTTCTTTTTAGTTCTATCTTCATTCTTGAAACGATCATTGTGGCAATTTTTCGGCCAAAGATAATTAAAATTATAAATTCAACACACCAGCAGGTGATCTGAGTCTCTGTCCTTGGATTTCCTTTATTTATTTAGTTGCCTCTGGATTAATTTCAATTTACATCAAATTATTGGTGATAAAAATCCAAACAAAGCAATTGATCTGTTATTTGGCAGGATTTAAATCTTCCTTTGATGATAGTTTTGTGCCTCATATATGTTTTTATGAATATTTTCTAATCTTTATGCTTGCAGTTTGAATTTGGCTTCACTGTGCTACTGTTGTCCCCTGTTGTCTGTTCAATAATGGCTTTCCTTAGGTCACTTCAGGCAGAGGAGATGGCCATGACATCAAAAACTCGGAAGGTATAGTTTTATAATAAGTTGCACATTTTATTGATTGGTTTCATTCATTTCATTTTACATCAGAAAATGCAAGAGGAGCTTCCTTTCTCAACATCCTTGTTTAAGCATCCTGCTTGTGATGTACAAGTTGAACTTTTCTGACAAACCCCATAGCAGTCACAGAAGTGGTAGTTCCTTTTGCTTATTTTGTCTGACTAGAATTATGCTGTATTATTGTCCGACTGTGCAGCCTTTTTCATTTATTTGGAGAAGTTGAATTAAGTTTATAATATTCTTTTTGCTAATATCTATAGTTGATTAAGATTTGCCTAGCAACTGTCTTAACATAAGCATAGGAAATAGTTTGTGGTTTTTAAATTAGCAAATTTCAGCTTCTCCCATGATCTGCAAACTACTATTACTTTTTCAATCTCTGATCTCCATCTGATATGACAGTATTTGAATTGAGGTTACTATTTCATTTTGGTCTTTTATGCACACTGTATCAACTTTTTTCGATGTTTAGTGCTTTGCTATTTTAATCCTACGGTTCCTTTGTTGAATGATGGTGAATTCATGTGATGTCTTGTTTCTTCAGTATGGCTTTGTTGCTTGGCTGCTCAGCACTTGTGTTGGATTGTTGCTATCCTTCTTGAGGTATGCTCCGTGTTATTTTGGGTTAAAAAATTCTATCTTAATCTTGTGCTTTTGGGATTTAGCCACTGACTACGTTCTGAATAACATGCGTTGTACGTGGTGAGGATGATTGTCAGATATGCTGTAATTATTTGGATTTAATTGAATGTTTTTAGGCCATGGCTTTGAAAATATTGCTTGTCCTTAAGTTATCATAATTGATTTAATCTAGACAGGCATATTCAAATGAATTATTATTGAATATATTTTCTTTAGACTCTCTTACAATGTGGTGTGCAAATGCTGACAATAGAGTGGTATATGATCTTGTGAACAATCATGCCTGTTGGCAATTACACGGAAAACTTGCACAATATTTGTGACACATAAGATACTGTAATTTAATTGTTAGAAAATGATGTAATTTTGTTTCCCCAAAAATATCTGAAACACAATTAAGTGCTGTTTGCATGGACTTAACTTGTGAAGCTTTTATTATTTACTGCAGAAGCTTGTTCCTTTCGCCTAGCATGATCTATAGGTTCTTTGAGTTAAATATGCTTGTTTGTTTAGAGAGTAATTCATATAATTCAGCTTGAGTTGAGGATAGAAGTTGTAATGTTTGAGCTGGAGCTGAAGTTAAGAAAATGTGAGATGGAGAAGTTCAAATAAGAAAGCTGTAGCTTATAAATTTAAAAAATGAAAGCTGCAGCTTATAAGGAAAAGGACTGGTTGCATTATTGTCCTGATGATTATTTTACATTTTATCCCTTTTTTGTCTCTTTGTGTTTTCTCTTTGTTTTTCTTTTCCTTTTTTTGAAGGATTCCTTATTGGCCCCACCTTCTTCCT